CTGCTAATTGGAACGTCGCGTTGGCGGAGGTATCAGCGGGTTCACTTTGGCAATTCATGTCGAGAGACGTGGTTGTAGAAATCCTTCAACCTGATGATGAGCTAAAAGGCTCGAAATCCGGATCGTTGCAAAACAACTTACTGTGAGTAGGAACTATCTTTTTAAAAAAAGTTGAGTTTTTCAAAGTGGTTTAACCCCTCGTCGACGAAACCCAACGTCTAGTTAGACGTTAACCAATCCTGCATCATAGTAATTGCTTTATTTTAATTTTTTCTAGACTGTAATCCTTATCAGTTAAGATTTCACCAAAACTACAAGATACAACACGTTTATTTTCATCTCATAAACTTTAGGATGTTTTTGTCTGTTAGTAATTCATGAAAGCATTGGAAAATCAGAAGAATCATGGGCAAACCTAGAATTTTCTATTCTAAGTGGCTAAAATTGTTTTCTCTTTGCAGCCAATCGTTAAGCCAGTTTTCCCAGATGTTATTTTAGATACATGAAAGTTTTCACCACGAGCTCTGTCACTCTGTGGCTTTCTGTGACTGCTCATTGGGCTGCCTTGTCATCAAGAACATTACCACTAAAGCTATTAATAGATTCAAAAGGGACATTGTTTACTTGAAGTTTTACTAGGATGGATTTTCTGGATTTCACTATTATGGAAAAATAGTTTTTATATGGCAAACAGACTAGCTCAAGAATCTATGCACATTAGTGACTAAAAGATAAACATATTTTGATTGTAATATTAATTTAGGTAAAAATAAATTATAATTGCAAAACAAATTTGTACATAAATAAATTACATTAAAATTAAAGCCAATGGTACATAATTGATAATTCATAATTCTCTTAGTTTAGATTGCAATATTTTTACAAATAATTTCATTCAAAACAACACCTATCTGCGAATTTCCGATTTTTTCGTAATCTAACTCTAATAAAAAACCTATTATTTAAAGATCGTTTAAATGCCAAGTTTGTTATTTTTTGTAGAGAAAACATTTACATACAATATATACATAAAGCGAGGTACTAATAATATATTAACAGTTGCAGGGTTTTTTTATAGGTTGTTTGTTTTGACTTCTTCTTTTTCTTTACTCTTTTCTTTTTTTTCACCTGAAAATCAAACATATTATATTTAATAAAAAAAATTAAGTTCATTAGACAACATATCGTACTCACTTTGAGACCGTTTCGCTTTCCATGAGACCGTTTCGTCAACAGATGGGGCCGTGAGGTCGTTCCAGGGTTGGACTTCACCAGAACCGAATATTACGTAGAAAATATTAGTACCGACGACCACAGCGAATGAAATCCAGAAAACCTTTCTCCATTCCAGCAAAGTCGACTGAAATCAACGAACATTTCAGTAAGGGTACAAATTTAAATATTATGATTATTTGTACATTTGGCGTCAAGTAGCCGATGAGAGTGGGCGTGATGATCCCAGATATCGCTCCGATGCCGTTTACAAGAGCCATCAGAGTCCCGGCATAGTTCGGAGATAGATCGAGCGCGTTCACCTTCAGACTCGGGTAGAAAAAGCCCATGAAAGCCATGCCTACGGTGAAGAAAGTGGCGACGGCGACTTTGTTACAGCCGGCGTACGAGGCCGCAACAACGCCAAGGCCGGGTCCGACGGATGCTATCGTGGTAAACACCTTTCTGATCATTCCCAACCCCATGCATTTCCTCCGAAGGAGATAGTCGCAGAGCCAACCTGAACCGATAGCGGTAAACCACATGACCAAGAACGGTAGCGCGCTGAGAAAGCCGTTCTGAAATAAAACAACATTTCATAACCAATTGTCTACTGATTTTGATACGATCACTCACTCTTTCCGAAAATAACTAAACACAATAACATCAAAAAGATCTAAAATGATGGCATGATAGAATGTTTTTAATTTCCAGTACATTAAAACTACATCCATTGGGAGAACACCATAATTATCTTGGTTTGGATAAGGGCTCACTTAGCAGACGTCAATAAGGAGGCCGATATATTGGCCAAGGAAAGTTCCATCAGGACATCAAGCCAAACCATTTTGCCACCAAGTTCTAAAGGAAAATAATTGCTCGTTGGTAGTAAAGTGCAGGGCTATTTGGGATTGAGTGAAGTCCCAGTCAGACATTGGCTACCAGTATTGGAATAAGGGCAACAAAGAGACCGATAAATTTGGCAAGTAAAGTTCGTTAAGGACCCCATGCATACCCTTTTTTACCATTTTGCAGCATACCAAATTGACAAAAACAATCCAGCAGAAAATGAGTTAAGGACAAGTCAAGATAGAAACAAGCGAAAAAGGTCGTCAAAAGACCATCGCAAAAATTATCGGAGAATTTTTAAAACTAGTAAGACGTAAATGGATCCCAGCTAATTACACACTCTATCTAGATGGCTCCAAGACCGAATATGGGTTAAAGCCGGTATCTTGTCTTTCGGGCTTAGACTGTGGCTGTAGAACACTGTTCAAGGCTGGGTATACACAACAAAAGAATAGCGAACTACTCGGACGTCCAGGCGTCCTTAAGACAACTAACATATCGGTAGTAATGCTAGTATCAAGGGAACTAAACTAAGGACTTGGAATCATATAACCCTTGGAAAATGTGCCACTGTCTTTACGACACAGAATTGAACACTGGGCAGACAGATCAAAAGGCTGAGTCAAAACAAAATCCCTCTACCCTGACAGTCAGTTAGTAAAGTCTATTAGCATTTGGGATTGAATCCAGTTGTCAGCCATTGGGTCTGCCCTGAACCTTTGTGAGGCTTACTAAATTGGCAAAAACATAAATCCATCATAGATTAAGAATAAGTCATCGGTTCAATAATCCATTACACCATTACAAAAGCTAACGGCAAAAATCTAGACCTAGCATGTGGTAGGACTAGACACCAGGACAAGCTTGTGCAGTTATTGCCCAGAGGAAGAAGAAGCCGTTCTATATTGGTGCAATGTGACTGAGATTCTTACTCCAGCCAGAAAAAAATTACCACACTAAGCGTTGCACATCTGGTGAAAATGAATATTTACGTTTATGTGGATAGTTTTGTTGGATTAAATAGAGTCGTTAAGTCCGTATCGGTTTCACTGAGCTATTATCAAATGTTTTAATTTGTGAGATGTCGTCAGAACGTTCATCAAGAAGTGGTGAATTAGCTCTGAACCATACCATAACCTGTTGACGTTTTATCTCTACGCACATTGTCCGCAGTTGGGAGGTTGATTATTTGAGTAAACTGGAAGGGATTGAAGGTTATTTGAGTGGATTTTTCTCGGGTCAACCTTCTGTCATTTTCATATTAAGACTCCAGCACTGTAATGGGATTCTGAAGGTTTTGATTGGAAGGAAACAGCAAGATCTTATTGACAATTGTATCGTAAAACTCAAACACACAGTCATAAAACGGCAGCAGTCAAATGCATGACATACTAAAAATAGTATCATTAACCAATGGCAAAAATAAACACAGTTGTTAAATAGTAAAAAGTCTAAAAACCGTTAAACGTACTTGAGCAATTGAAAACTTCATGACTGACTTCATGTATTTAGGGAGGTCTGCAGCTATAGTGAAGAGGGCCCAGTCGTGTCCGATCTGGCCTACTATCAGTGCCCATAGAGGTAGAGACATTGCCATTGATAGCCATGGAGTCGGTCCTAAGTTCTATAAACAAATTTCAATAATTAGATCAGATCTTTTTTTCTTATTTTTTGACTTGCCTTTCGCCTTTTGAGACATCCCAGAGTCTCCTTGAGATAGTCCTTCTCTTCTTGCGTAATATAGGGATGAGAGTCTGGATCGCTGTAGACTGTTAAGCACCATAGGATGTACCAGAGGACTCCGAGTGTGCCGAATAAGTAGAAGACATTTGGCCATCCTCCATGCCAATATTTAAGCAACAGGCCAGTAAGTGCACTAGAGACTACTGTACCAATTTGGTTTCCTGAGAAAGACAATATAAGATCACTTTTAAAAATCAAAAAGGAAAGTAATTTTTCAAAAACAGGTTTAATCACTAATTACTGAAATATATAAGTTTAAGTTGAATCCTTACCTGCAAAAACCAAAGCTCCTAGTTTTCCTCTTTCCATCGGAGGAACCCACTGTGCAAGAATTGCGTTTAAAGCTGGAAATGTTGTCCCCTTTAAATAACAATAACATTTTAATTATCGTCTATATCTAAGCTGGAAAAAAAACACTTTCTTACTTCTCCAAGCCCTTCCATGAAACGGACGGCTATCATCCACTTCGGGCCGGCCTGTGCTGCAAGAGGGGTCAACAGAGTGAGCACGGCAGTGCCTAGTATCCCTAAGCCAACCGTGTGCTTACCGCCGAATCTAAAGTACCAAATTAAGTTTAAGATTGAATTTTTATTTTCCAGGTAAAGTAAGTAAAAGTAAATAAATTTCTGTCATGGAAGGTTTAAAGTTCAACTACCCTGAGTGTCCTGGTCAACCCATTTTACAATAGTTTTATGTTTTCGACTTTTTATCACTTAATACACGCACAGCTTTTACCTATCTGTTAGCCTGTCAGAATGGCCCTTTTCGGTATTGATTCAGAGTTTTTATTGGTATGTTGCAGGTTAGGGAGATAAGTAGGGAGAATCAATGAAAACAAACACGGATCTTTTACGGTATACAGATAGCTTAAAAATGAAAATAGGGCCTAAATATGAGCACTAAATGAACCACCGATTTTTCAAAACAAATTATAACGCTATGGAAACATAAGCGCATGTAATAAATAACTAAAATCTCAAGTTTGCAGCAGTGCCAGATATCCAGTCAACTCTTAAGGTCTCCTAGGCTACGATATCAACTACAAAACTAGAAAAACAGAATATTTGTTCTTTATGCCTATGTCAATAATAATTAGTTTGCATGTCATATAACTGAGAAAAAAACAGTAAAAATAAATAAAAATCTTTCAAAAGTTTTATTGAGTTGTAAAATAATTCCGTATTATTTTTTCAATAATTCCATTTTATCCCATTTGTATTTTGAAGCAATGTTTGTTTATACACCCTCAAAAGGTGGTTTCTTTGTATGTTTCGTTCGAAATCTCGCATTTTTACAGGGTGTTTTGCTAATTTAAAATGAAGAAAAACGCATTTTCGTCATGTTTTGGTTTTCTTTAAGCCGCAGCTAGTACTGCAAAGAAAATTTGTAATGGACTCTGCGATGTCGCTTTAGGATAAACCACCATATATGATTTGCTCGGTTCAGAAGTGGAAATTTTCATTTTGATTCCGGAAGATCGCGCGCTGGTCGTCTTACGACCGTTGATGACGAAAAAAGTTTTCGTTACAAATAACCCACAATTAACGACAAGTAATATCAAAGGGGTTTGCAGCAGTGCCAGATATCCAGTCAACTCTAAAGGTCCCCTAGGCAAGATATCAACTCAAAACTAGTCTGGAACTGCTTAAATACCTTAAAAAACATCGATAAATAGTACAAAGCACTAGGTTCCAGATCAGAAATACTTTGGAGTAACGAGCCTGCAGAAAATCTAACAAAAAAAAATTGACCAGTTAGCACAGGACCATATCACAAAATTTCTCAAATGTAAACAAATTGCAATCAGATTAATTCAAATTTTAAAATATATATTCATTAACTAAAGAATAATGTAAATTTGTAAATAATTCTGATAAGTTGAACCTTTAAAATATAAAATTAATTAAATTTACTTTCAAGATTATTAAAATCTCAGTTCAAATATTGACCGTTTTCCTATTACATTCCAAAGTAAATACATTTATCTAAAGAAAAACAATCCAATGTCTAAATGAGAAAACCAAACAAATAAATAAACTAATATAAATGACAAAGTCTTAACATTTTACATTGTTTTCAAGGTTTTAAAAATTAAGCCAGGTATCTCATAATAAACAATATATTAGAATATATATGCATATTTAAATGATTGATCGTTACAAGTCGCTCTGGGAGACTAGCACGACTAAACGAGGCCATTTAGCATATATCAACTGATTGGACACGAATCCTTTCCTTCTAACTGGAATTTCTCTATTTTTTTCCCCCGAGGAAGAACCTTACTTAAAACACTAAAAACAGAAGAAACTTAAAGAGCGGTTGTAGGTTTCAGTGCAACGTAAAAATGAAACGAAACACAAAAACGAGTGACAATAGACATAGTGAACAACCAAATTATGTTGATTTTATCTTTTCTTTGTGCTTTTTCAATAGGTTAAAATTTCGTTTTATAACTTCTGTATTGTTGTTATTTTTTGTCTGTGTTTAATGTAGATATCCAATTTTTGTTGTGTTCGCTATGTTTATTGTTTCTTCTTTATGTTATTGTTTCATATTTCTTTGTTTTTGTTCGTTTTATTAGGCTAAAGTTGGGAAATAAATTTTAGCCAGGATAATAAATTGAATTACTAGATTAACCACATTCCCTCTTTTTCACACCGTCACAATATATATATTTAGCATAAAAGTTCTGCATTTGGTTTGATATAATTAAAAAAGGGTATATCTCTAGAAAGCTTATTGAACGAAAAAGTTATGAAATTCGCCAAAGTCTACCGTGAATTTTTCCAATGAGATTGCAAATTCAGTTGTTTTTATACAAATGTCAAATTTATCCAAAAGATTTAGTTTTTGATTAAAAACGTATTAAAATGCACGTTCTACAAGAGTGCCTTATTAAAGAAAATTGGACATTTTTAATTTTTTTTTTAATTTCCTCAAAAATGGATAATTAAAGCTACGATAAGCTTGTGTGTTAGGATAAGCTTATAAAATTAGGATAAGCTACGAGTAGTTTTGTGACAAATACCGTACAAAGTTGAAAAAAAATCTTGAATAATTGCAAAAGCATTGAAAATCGAACCATGATTTATATGAATTTTTTGTTCCATTTGAGGTGAAGAAGCAGCTGAACATTTGAGCATGAATAGCTAATCAGCCTGTATAATAAAATTTTGTTTAACATTTCTTTCTTTTTGTTCGTTCTATAGGGCTAAAGTTGGTAAATAAATTTTACCCAGGATAATAAGTCGAATTACTAGATAAACCACATTCACTCTTTTTCACACCGTCACAATTTTTTTTAGCGTAAAAGTTCTGCATTTGGTTTGATATAATTAAAAAAAGGGTATATCGCTGGAAAGCTTATTCCACGAAGAATTTATGAAATTCGCCAAGGTCTACCGTGTGTTTTTCTAATGAGGTTGATTTTTTTGAGCATAAAAGTTCTGCATTTGGTTTGAATAATTAAAAAAAGAGTATATCGCTGGAAAGCTTATTCCACGAAGAAGTTATGAAATTCGCCGAGGTCTACCTCGTATTTTTCTAATGAGGTTGATTTTTTTTTAGCATAAAAGTTCTGCATTTGGTTTGACATAATTAAAAAAAGGGTATATCGCTGGAAAGCTTATTCCACGAAGAATTTATGAAATTCGCCAAGGTCTACCGTGTATTTTTCTAATGAGGTTGATTTTTTTAGCATAAAAGTTCTGCATTTGGTTTGACATAATTAGAAAAAGGGTATATCGCTGGAAAGCTTATTCCACGAAGAATTTATTAAATTCGCCAAGGTCTACCGTGTATTTTTGTAATGAGGTTGATTTTTTTTTAGCATAAAAGTTCTGCATTTGGTTTGACATAATTAAAAAAAAAGGGTATATGGCTGGAAAGCTTATTCCACGAAGAATTTATTAAATTCGCCAAGGTCTACCGTGTATTTTTGTAATGAGGTTGATTTTTTTTTTAGCATAAAAGTTCTGCATTTGGTTTGACATAATTAAAAAAAGGGTATATCGCTGGAAAGCTTATTCCACGAAGACGTTATGAAATTCGCCAAGTGTATTTTTCCAATGTGTTTGAATTATTGTTTTACAAATATTAAATTTATCCAAAACATTTAGTTTTTTTTAACAGAGAAAAATTAAATTGCACATTCTACAAGCATACCTTATTAAAGAAAATTGGACACTTTTAAATTTTTTTCCTCAAAAATAAATAGTTCAATAAATTGAACGATGATTTATATGAACTTTTTTCTTCCATTTGCGGTGAAGAAGCATCTGACGAACTTTTTAGCATGAATAGCCAATCAACCTGTATAATAAAATTATTTTACAACATAAATAAGGAAATGAATACGCAAGTGTGTTTATTTCCATTTTTTCCTAGAAATATTTTAAAATAATCATTTTACATTATTTTCAAGATTATTAAAATTAAACCAGATATGTAATAATAAAGAATATATTATACTATTTACGCAATTTTAATGGATTGATCGTTACAAGACGTTCTGGGAGACATGACCAGCGAGACTAAGCTACGTTAGTAAACTTAACTGGTTCTGGGACTTAGGCCTTTTCGTGTAACTGAAATCTCCCTAATCTACTACTTTTTCAGTAAAACAACCCCTAATTAAAACACTGGAAAAAGTAAATAGTCAATTAATGATATTACTCATCACTAAACGCAAATAAAGGACCTTAAAGGGTGGTTATAGGTTTGAAAAAAATTTTGAACCCTTTTTAAATAATCGTTGGAAAACAAACGATTAACAAAGAGATTCGGTATAATATAGTAAAACTATTTGATATTATTATTTTTTTTTTTTTTTTTTGAAAATGTATAAAATGGAAAGTGCTGAGTTTTCAAGTGTCTTGTCAACCACCTAACATTTATATTAAAAAAAAGAAACATGTTTATCAATTTTAATCACGACGACCAGTACTTAACCAACTGTCTTGGAATTTACCTTTCGGCGAGGAGGCCTCCCGGGATGTGGGTGAGTACGTAACCCCAGTAGAAGGCGGAAAGTATGAGCCCTTGCGTCTGTTCGTTCCAGTCGAATTCGTAATCCTGAAATTGAAAAGGAAAACGTCCATTATCCTCTTTGCTTCCTCGCGCATTCTACTAGTTATTTTCTACTAGTTTATAATACAATTGTCACGAAACCGGGCCGTTGTTACTGGCACGTTTGGAAAATGAACTACTGCAATTATCTGTCCATTATGCCTAAATATTGTCCTTCTAGTTGACTTTGTTCAGACCCGACATTCAACCCCTGAGCAATCTAAAATTCTAATATAAATTCGTTGTTTTTTAATTGACAAAATGAAAATTTAAAGCAGTTAACATATATTAAAAAATTTCTCAGCGAGGTTTTTCAATAACATAGGCTTGATAACATATTAAGAACTTCATAAAAACTTAATATATAGTGATCATTTTGTTTCTCAGACAAAGGCTCAGATCATTAAAGAATGCTCAGAAGTTAACGCTTGCCAGAAAAAATAATCGCTCTAAACAAAAGCAAATGACGTAACAAAAACCGTGCATATACAAGTGTTTGTTTATTTTTTGATAAACCCAAATTTAAAACTGTGTAAATAAAACGCTGTTTACAATTTCTGACAATGGAAGCCTATGAACGAGGGATCAATGATTTTAATGAAGCATTTTTTACTGATGGTAATGATGATTTCGGAAGTCGGGGTTTTTGTTCTCCAAGCAGGCTTTTGGCTTATTGCTGGCTTCCTTTCTTTGGGTTTCTTTTGTATCCTGGTTTGTCTCCAGTGAGAGGTTGCTTCGCATTCGAAGATAATATGTGTGGTTCTTTCTGCTTCTTCATTGCATAACAAATGGGGTCATTTGCTATTTTTTGGTGATACTAGGTTGAAAAATATTAGACACGTGTCAGGGGGTTCTTGCCAATGTGCCTTTGGAGCTGAGAAACAAATTAATTAGTTTGAATAATTATTCAGAGATCGTGAGATGCGGTCTGGTGTGATGTAGGTTTCAGTAAAACATTTTCTTTATCGTGCCAACGTTTCGATCTTTATTGAGATCATCTTCAGGGCCTGGGATTTACAAACATTGTTTACATTTAACAAATACATTTTGGATGTAAAAAAGTGAATTTATACGATGCAAAATATATTTTTTATATATTTAATGAAAGTATTTACTCACTCAAAGTATTTGTCTTCTGTGTAATTGTGCCATTCTTGCGTTGAGAGTGCCAGTGAGATATTGACAGAAATATATTTTATGTTTATATACGTTGGACTTTGAAGGGGTGGGGAAGTAAGTCGGTATATAAAGACATTTTTATATAAGGGGTCGGCTTCTTTGAGGTGAAAGCTCTGAAGATGATCTCAATAAAGGTCGAAACTTGGCACGATAAAGAAAATGTTTTTCTGAAACCTACATCACACCAGACCGCATCTCACGATCTCTGAATAATCATCGATTAACGGTCACTAATCACCACACAGTTTGAATAATTTTGAAATTAGAGTTTATCTCTTTTCGATTAGTTAGTCGACCCTCTAAAGCCCTTAAATATGAATTTTCAGGGTATTTTATCCTCGGATGCCCTTAGTTCCACTTCTTTTCATTCCATTCTGAGCAACAAAAACAGAATATTTGTTCTTTAAGCGATTGCATGCCATATAACTGAAAAAAATAAACATGTAAAAATAAATAAAAATCTTTCAAAAGTTCTATTGGGTTGTAAAATAATTCCGTATTATTTTTTCAATAATTCCATTTTATCCCTTTTGTATTTTGAACCAATGTTTGTTTACTCATTATTTTTTGTACGCCCTCAAAAGGTTCTTTCTTTGTCTGTTTCGTTCAAAATCTCGCATTTTGACAAAGTATTTTGCTAATTTAAAATGAAGAAAAACGCATTTTCGTCATGTTTTGGTTTTCTTTAAGCCGTAGCTAGGACTGGAAAGAAAATTTGTAATGGACTCTGCGATGTCGCTTTAGGATAAAGAAGAAGTGGAAATTTTCATTTTGATTCCGGAAGATCGCGCTCTGGTCGTCTTACGACCGTTGATGACGACCAAAGTTTTCGTTGCAAATAACCCACACTTAACGACAAGTAATATCAAAGGGACACTTAATTTATCCGGTAAAAGTGTTCTACACATGAGAGAGCAGATTAATGTGTTTGTCGGTTTCCTCACAAGACTGAGAATAATTTATTGTATTGCACCTTTATCTGCGATTCCTTACTAAAATGCATTGGTAGGTCATTTTTAAAAAGATTAATAACTGGGATGAAAATTGGGTCCTTTACAATAAAGTTCAGAGAGAAAAATCCTGGGAAAAACGCAGCGACCAACCGTTAACTTCTCCAACAGCCGGATTTTATTCCAAGATAGTGAAATATATCTGGTTGGACTGGAAGAAGGTGCTTTATTAAGAGCTTCTTCTTCCCCGCCAGGGGTCATCACAAGCAAAAATAAAATTGACGAGAACAAAAACTCCCCGAGCGTTTTATTTTATATCCCCAGTTTTGATTTATTTACACAAGTCTGATAAAGTGACATTACATGTAGATTGTAGGGCTGAATCATGCTGAATTTCACGTCGGTCGGTACAGTAAATAAATTTTTCACAATTTTGGTGATTTTACAAAACACGGTTGACCTTGAGGCCTGAACAAAGTAAACTAGAATACAAATATTTAGTCATATTGGACAGATAACTGCAATAGTCCATTTTCCTCCTTACAGGCAGTAAATCATATTTAAAACGACTTTGTAAGTTAAAAAAAGAATTATATTATGCCATTTTCACATTAAAAAAAACACAACTAATCATAATTTTATCTTGAGATGTGTTTTATTTTATATTATTGGATTTATATTATTTTTCAGAAATCGTTAAATTCCAAATAATCTTAACTATCTTAATCTTAACATTAAGCAAGCAACCGTATGCCCTTTGTAATAAATTATTTTAAATTAGACAAATATAGTGGCACTTATCTCATTTATATTTTTTAACTGGAAAATCAAAATTTTAGTATCATAATTTTTGATAACGTTGGGTAACCATGAATCTATTTGCTACCACGTTGCCAGCTGTCTTTTTTATTGCGCGATCAGTAAACTGTGCATTTTACATATGTAAACAGACCTCTCGTCTATTCAAATTATATCTGTTCTGCTATAGGCAATGAAGATTTGACAAAACGTAATTACTAGTTGCTGTTAACTACAGCCGCGACCTTCGTCTCGTTAGACGTGCCAGTGGCCGTTTGCCGACAGTCTGTCTGAATTATTCTTCTTAACTATTACTTTTCCCTTGAGAAATAAGTGAAAACCTGTTTAAACTTTAAAATTAATAAGAAGGAATGATTAGAATAATTTTTGTAATTTGGTATTTTAAAACTCACGATTTCTAATGGTCTTGCTTTCGACTAGATTCTTCTTTGCGTATAGTTATTGAAACGGAACAGAAAGATCAGTTTACGTAAGGAATGTATAGCCTTCACTTTTGACTTATAACCAAGTTTTTTTTTTTTTGTATTTTGGACAAGTTTGCCAGACTGTTCATTGTACACCACCCTATAAACAACATAATCACTTACAGAGTTTGTGGTGTTTTTCGTTGGCAACTCTCCAGGACATGCGTTTGGATCTGAGTGGGCGTTGCTCGACGACGGAGGGTGGTAGACCATCACTGTGATGGCCAGGCTGAGGCAGCCTCTCATCGCATAAGCATTCGCCACTGCGAGAAATCCCATAAGGCCGAGGACGTACCGCTGCGCTATACATACTAAAAAAAAACAAAAAAAACATTACTTTTGTTCAAATATTATAATTATTATATTAAAATTATAGATTTTGTGATGGTATCCATCGTGATTTTTTGAACTCCGTAATAAGATAATGGGTGGTAAATAATTTGTCTTTTCCACAATAGGCATTTATTTGGTCCGGCGTTTCGGTCTAATATAGACCATCTTCAGAGATTTTTTTTATATAAAGCAGTTTGACGGTTTTTTACATTCTTATAAGTTCAGAAGTGAATGTTGGAGAGTAGTCTGTCAAGAATCATTCTTTTTCCCAGGACCCAATATACCAGATCCTTATCCTATGAGGGTATGGTATGGTATGGTATGGTGGAAGGGATGCCGGGAAGCAGGGCTTGTATTCCCCAGGCACTGCAGCCTTCTGGCTTATTGTACCTTCCCAGCTCCCTAGTTTAGTCAATAGACTCAATCCTTCTTCTCAGAAGTATCAGGTCATTGACTGTTATTGCTGCAATTTGGTTCCCTGAGTCTTTTTTGTACGTTAGGTTAAACCTCCATTCAGCTGTTGCTTCGCATTCGAAGATGAATGAGTGGCTGTTTCCTCCTCCTCATTACATAATCTGCAAATGGGGTCATCGCTGTATATACCCATGTTGTGTAGATGTTTTCTCAGATACCAGTGACCGGTTAGTAGTCCCACCACTACTCTGAGTTTTGCCCTCTCCAATTGCAGCAGTGTTTTTGCCAATTTTGGTGAGGGTTGTTTCAGCATAAGTTTACTATGTCTAGCACCGCTAGAGTTTATCCACTTCTCTCTTTGTTTTGTTTGGCTCCATTCTGCGATGGAGGAATCTATGTTTGTTTTTGTTATCCCAAGGATAGGTTCGGGGCCTATGTATGGTCTTGCAGATCCTCTTCTGGCCAGCTTGTCCGCCTCTTCGTTACCCAGAATTCCCCTGGGCCCTGGCACCCAAGATATCATCAGGTTGTTGTGTTTTCCCAGGTTTTGGAGATTTTGGATACATTCACTGACTACTTTTGATGTAATTCTTTTACATGCCAATGCTTTAATAGCTGCTTGGCTGTCTGTTCTTATGAGGATTTTTTTGTCAGTGTAACCTCTTTTAAGATTTTCCAGGACACAAGCGTTGATGGCATGTATTTCTGTATGTATATCACCACTTTAAAAATTGCAAAAAAAATTATTGCGTCATTTTCTAGTCAAATTACTTTTCTCTATTTCTTGCATCGCCTTGCTATCATTCCAAGACATTTGGACGGGAAAAAAATCGACACGACATTTATGTTCAAGTTTAGGGAGTTTACAACATTGATGAAATTTATGCCTCAATTCTTTTATAAATTTTATAAATTAACCAGCAGTTATACTATTAGAAGAATTATAATCTTGTCCGTACTAATATTAATTTTATAATATAATCCTTTGATAATCCGTGTAATCCTGTGATAGTACTAACAGGAATTACAATGTATACTGATTGTTTTATCCTGGGTTCAGGAATTCATAAAAATTAACAACCATTACATAGAATTACCACTAACAGTTTTTGGTTTGTTAATAAAACACAAAACATAATATAATTACAGTAAATCTTATGTAATCCCTTATATTTTGATAAATTAATTTAAAAAAATCTTTTCAATTTTTCATGTTTTATGTTTGAACAATAGTCAGTGTTTATACGTACGTGTGATTCATTGATAAAACATGATTTTTTTTTTATTTTGACAGGATTATTTAAATTGCCGTTAATCGATCAAGGCCGATTAGAAGTTCGGTTATCTTTCACCCTTGGGTCAGGGATGAGCTGTATCTCTCACGTCTGCAACTTCCCCGTTTAACACACAATTGCCAGTTATAACGGCATAACGTAACTGGTCGATTAAAAAGAATAAAACAAGATTATATTGATATACTGAAGATCTCGAGACTGGATTATCAATTCGAGAACTCTGAAGAGATAAAAGGAATCGAATTCCCTTGCTATTGACCGATCTACAAAAAGCCGTCAACATTTTCGCGTGAAAATAAATTTATCAGTAGATACAAAAAGAAAAAGTATGAACATTATAAACAAATATTAATAAAACGGTCGTAAAATCTAAATCAGTACCTTTCACAATATCCTTTTAGGAAGTAAAATTATCAAATTGGATGCTATTTTATTTATAATGCAATGAAAGATATCTATGAGTATTTAATCGAGTTTTTCTCAATAAAAACTGGTTTTTATTTATGCGATACGTTCTAACTTACAATAAACATTTTTTTTTTTAATATAAAAAGGAGGTAATTATTGATTACTTTCGAAATGGAAAGCTACTGTATTCACTTTTCAGAATTTATGGTAAACTACCATGCATTGCTTTTAACCTTCCCGCATAAAACGGTCAACTGAAGCTTCTGGCACCATCAAGTGGAAAAGGTTTTAGGAAGATTTACGGTGCCCCTCTAAATAAAAAAAGACCCAATTAATGCCGAATATCTGACATACAGATGGCTCCAATACTGGGTATAGGTCAGGTACCTAGGGAAAGAAGCCAGGAGGGATAGGGATATAAGAGGCGGCCACAAGACCTACTTAGATATACAATAGATCTATTGTGCTCCCCTGTTATTTATAACTCACTGGCCATCTTCGTTATTAATCGGCTTCCATAGCTTTTCCTGCGGCTCCTTAGTGTTGGATCTTGCTTATGGTTTTTCTTGTCCTAGTTGGAAGAACCTGCACCAACATAGACCTTCACAGAAACGTAGAATGTGTTCTGCGGTCTCCTCCTCTTCCTGGCGGTATCTGCACAGTGTTTCTTCTATCTGTACTCCTATCCGGTGCATGTGCTTTGTTAAGTGGCAGTGTCCCATGGTTAGGGATGGTTAGGGTGATGTATTTCGGCCCGTTAGCCCCTCGCGTGCGGCGTACGACCCGACGCACAATGCGGGCCCGACCACTCGGAATGGACAAGCGGAGAGCGTGGCTACTGACCCTTAGGGGCCGGGACACCACTACACCAATGCTGCGGCGGTAACACTTTTCCGTCGTATGCAGAGGTGCGTCAGCTCTCATCTTGAGAATCAAAACGTCCGATAAGGCCGAATAGGCTAGGTGCGGACGTTAAAGATCCTCTTGTCTTGTTGACGATGAGTAAATCGGGAACGTATGTCCCGTCAGGAGTGGGAGTCATGGCCCACTTTATGTGGAAACACGGCGACGATGGGTGGTTTAATGTGGTTGAGACTCGAGACCCCGAAACGGCTCACCTCGTGTTCTCATCCACGGCCCCTTTTCTCAATCCAAACTCCTTCATTATATCCTGTGACCCCTCGTAACCCTTGGTAACAAGGGGAGTATCCGAGCACAAGATAAAGGTGCAGCCCAGAGGGCGTGGCAACCTTTATAAAGCACAAGCTGTCTTGTGTCGGCCTGAGGGTCGGCAGGGGCGGCGGGTGCCTTAGCAGAGTCACACGAGGGCCAGTGCACTAGATCCTGTCTGCAAAGACGGGGGAGGATGTATGGCCATCTGTACCACGGGGTGACAGAATGTTTCCAAAAACCAGCCCTTGTCACATTGGGAACGGTTTCGTGGTGGTACGTGGTGACGCCCCTGGCGGGAACTTAGACAGAGGCTGTCTTCTATTTGTGACCTTTCGTGAAGCTTGCGATAGTAGTACCCCCTGTTCCTCGCGGGAGACTTTGCGACCGGACGACAGCATGTAAGCGTTGAGGACGTGATGATCATGCTACAGTCCCTCGAATGGGTAAGTAAGCGGTTGGAAGAGTGTAGTGAGTCGGCGTCTTTGACTCGAGTATGCTTTGCATTGTTGTGCGTATGACCGGCGTAGTACCCTTGGGGAAGCGAAGGATCGGACCACCTAGGCTAGACCTATGGCGTCCCTCGAATGCGTGCAGCAGGTGTAGGCTGAGCTCGATAAGAGACTTTTACCGTAGACAGTGCTCATCTAGGGGGAGGGTAGCAATTCCACTTTAAACTAAAACCGCTGCCGGGGCGTTCTCGAAAGTTTCGGTTGCGGTTGCCTTCCAGTAATTTTTTTGTAAGTTTTGCGGATGGTCCTTCTATGAATCTCTTTGTGTGTCTCATACCTGTGCTATTGTTCCACCGGGTTTTGGACTCATTAAGGATCCATTTTAAGATGTATCCTCTTTTGTGGCAGGATGCTAAGCCACAGTAGGGTTCAGGACTTAGAGAGACCATGTTGGCCAACATGTCAACCTGGGGACCTTTTAGGGATCCTTTAAGTACTAAAGGCCATAACTTCATCAGGAGTAAAAGCTTTTCGGAACGACAATGTGCACCTTTTGTTCCTCAGTTTCATCAGACAATGGATTTAGTATTCGAATCAGTGGGAATTTATCCCAAGAATATGACCTGCAATTTCATAAAAGGGCCATCGCAGAAACTAATGCAGAGACAGGTTCCAATACCATACTCGCATAAAAGGAGCAATTATAGCTTCAGGATAAGTTCAAGCGGATAAGGTCAAAAAAGGGAAAAAGGAACCCATTTAATGCTGACTATGGCATGCAGTTTGCTCCAAGTCCAACTCGATCCAATTCGTATAACCTTTGAGCAATATGTCATTGTCTTTCAGCCTAGGAATTTCACCGTTAAACAATGGGCCAAACAGATCAATAGGCTAGGTATTACCAAAAAAAGAAAAGCCATCTACTCAGAGAGCCAGGAACTAAAGGTAACAACTTCATCATCATTAGTAAAGACCCCGAAGCGTTTAGGATTGAATTAAGTCCTTGTTAGACATGGTGTACCAGGGCATACTGAGCAAAGAGGCAAGGAATGAAGGAAGGAAGAGAAGGTCGACAAACTGACCAAGGAATGTTCGACGACACTTGCTGTCCCTGAACCCTTGTGCGAATTAGGCTGAATAACCAGGCGGCACTAAACACAACTACCTCACTGGTAAGTAAAGCCCAGAGTTTGAAATTGCATGAAGGACCTGTCTGACATTGTGAAAACAAAACCAGAA